GAAACTAAAAAATAAATATCATGCAATAACATATATTATCAAATAAACTTAATTAAAATAATATTGTATCGTTCGTTATTATAATAAAACTAATGTACGTAAAGAATGAAATTAAAAAATAAAATTCATTCATACATGTATATAGTGAAATAAAATTAAAATGTAATTAAAAGGGAAAATGACGGTTTTGGTCCCTCAATTGTTTTACTTTTAAAAATTTAGCCCCTATCAATTGATTTGAACAAATTTAACCCTTTAATTGTTCATAACGTGGTACATTTGGTCCCTCATATTATATAATTAGAATCGTTTTTAATAATTTATATAATTTATTTATTCAAAATTAAAAATATTTTTTATTATAAATAAATACATACATTTTTTTTAAAAAAAAAAAGAAGAAGAACAGCCCCCGGCTGTCCTCGCCGGATAGTCGATGGCTGCCTTCTTCATGGAGACAGCCATGGCCGACGAAGGAAGACGGCAATGGCCGTCTTCCTTCGTCTGCCATGGTTGTCTTCCTTAGACGGTTATGGCTGTCCGGCGCAGACAACCGGTGACTGTTTTTTTTTTTTTTTTTTTTTTAAATAAAAAATTGTTTATATTATGTATTTATATATAATAAAAAATATTTTTAATTGTGAATAAAAAAATTATATAAATTATTAAAAACAATTATAATTATATAACATGAGGGATTAAATGTGCTACATTATGAACAATTAAAGAGTTAGATTTATTCAAATCAATTAATAGTTCAAAAATAAAATAATTGAGGAGGCAAAAACGCCGTTTTCCCTAATTAAAATAATATAACATCATTTTTCTTCATGATCCCTACTAGTTGGCTGGGATGTGTATACAATTTCACAAACTTTGAAGGTCAAAAATAGAAAATATAGCAATTAGCAAACCTTATTCGTTCCCCTTCCATAAACCCTTGCTCTGATTCAACGGAGACAAAGCCACCATCTCCGGCTGAACCGACCGAGTTTCACAGCGTACGGCTCTCTAGAACTCACGATGCGCGGTCTTCAACGACTGCTACTTACTCGTCTCTCTGCAAGCCCTGCCGGTAAGCATCTTTCAGCGCCACTGAAGAGCCTCGGCCTTTTCTCGTCGGACAGGCCATTCTCATCCGGACCCGATAAAGGACCGGACTCTGGAGATTCGAAGTCCGGTGATGGCCTGGGTTGGGACGTCGGGTCATCCTGGTCCGTCGGCTTAACGAAGGAGCATTTTGATGGGGAGGTTGTGGGGAAACAAGCACAGTCCGACTCTGGGCGCTCGAAATCCGGGTTCGGGTCGGCCCGGATGACGGATGAGGAAATGGACACGCTGAGGCAGCTGGAGGAGGAGACACGCAAGTCGAAGGCGTTCGTGGGTGGATGGGATGCGAGGATGCAAGACATTGGCCTGATGATGAAGCAGGTGATAGCTAATCCCACATTTCTTGCTTCTTTATTACTGTAGGAGTTTAAAAAGTTTTTCCTTTTTTAATTTTGAATTGTTTTGCGGATTAATAATTAATAACAAGATGAATTCAGTTTGTCATGGAATAGTATCTGAATAAGTTGCTTTTAAGAAAGAGAAATTATATTTGTTTTGCTTTTGCAATGCAAATTTGCTTGTGGAATAAAATTTTGAAGGTGAGAATTTGTTTGGTAGGTTATGGAGCCAGGGGCAAGGGGTTCGTATTTGAAGGATTCAGAAAAAGCAGAAATGTACAAGAAACACAAGGAGAAACCTGAGGAATACACAATTGAGAGGCTGGCCAAGGAGTACAGGATCATGAGGCAGAGGGTGCATGCGATTCTGTGGCTGAAGGAGCTCGAGGAGGCGGAGGAGAAGAAGTTAGGACAGCCACTCGACAACAGCATTGAGGTCTTGATTGATAACAACCCGGAGTAAGTTCAAGTCGATCCATGGCATTTATTTTCTATTGGGGAAATTTCTTCATCTAGCTTAAGTATTTTATGGTGTTCGGGAGGAGGTAGAAATTGTGTTTTGATGCCTCAAGGTAATAAAGATTTAAAATTTAAAAAAAGTCTTAGAGCATTATGTTTACCATTTGCTTGGATAAGTATGTTGACAACAGGTGCTTAGGTTACTTTGATTAGCTACTCCCTTCTCTTAATTGTTTCAGCTTCTTTAGAGAAATTAACTGTGGAAGTGTTTATTTTTGGGGCACTGATCCTAGTTATACTTTGTTCTTTTTACTGTAGTCCCTATGTGTGTTGATTGCATTTTCTTTGACGTTTAAGAGAACCTATGAATTCTTTTAGCAAATATTAGAATTAGAATTCTCGTTTGGTTTGCGGAAAATATTTGAAAGGAAATGGAATTGAAATTCCATGGAAAAGTAGTTATTGGGAATATGGATTCCATTGTTTGGTTGGTGGAAAATGAGTTACTGGGAATATGGATTCCATTGTTTGGTTGAATTTGTGATTGTAAGGAATAATGTGTATAAAGACCTAAATGTCCCTATACAATAATAATACTTAATAATAATTAAGAAGAAAGCATAAGGGTAAAATAGTCCAATCAACTCAATCTTTCTTCCTTCCCCCCTTGGAAAACAAAATACCAACCCTTTGCTAAGATTTTGTTTTCCTCATATTTGAGGAATGAGGAATTAGTTTTCCATTGGAAAACAATTTCCATGAACCAAACATCAAAAAACTCTTGTTTTCTTCAAATTCTAGGAAATCATTTTCCTTGGAAGTTCTTTTCCATGAACCAAACATCCCCTTAGAGTTTTGAGAGGGAGAGGGCTACTTGTTAGATCAAACTTTTGATTTTGGTTTCATCAGTTCTACAATTTTTGGTTTGCAACATGTATCACTTAGTCAACAAAACTAGTTTTCAAAACATGCCTGGTGCAGTGGTGCTGTTGTGAAACACTAGATAGGTGCCATAGTCTGGTTGGAGACTTTTTTCTAGAACTTGCATTCCGGAAGTGCTAGTAACCTTAATAAACTCTTAGTATCAAATTCCATCAACTAAACAAGTTACAAATGAAACCTTTTGTGTTAAACATTTTGCCAAAACTTATTTTCTCCAGCTGGTTAGGAAAAGTCCGAGTCATGTTACCATGCGAGTGAGCTACTTCAAGGAAATGATAACAATGCGTTGCGACCGAGTTGGAAGTATCTTTACTGGGGTGAAGAATTGTTTTTGTTCTTTTTCCAAAGTTGATGGTACTGTTTGGGTTATGTTAAGCTAAGATAATATCATACCGATTAGTTGCTTTGCACTAGTTGATCTTGCAACGGGTGTTTGCTATGCAAAGATCATACTGATTGGTTGGTTTGCAGTGGTTGTTCAAAATGCAAAATAGATGTACTGAATTAAATTGGGATATATTTACCAGGAATAAAAGGTTAAATTGAGATATGGATGTCTATGTACAGAGTTCAAGTATATAATCTTCATATGGTAATAACTTGTACCTTTTGCAGATTCTTCAATTCCCATGACAGAGAATTTCACATTGCATCCCTTCCTTACAAGCCGGACTTCAAGGTTATGCCCGAGGGTTGGGATGGCACCACTAGGGACCCCGATGAGGTGCACTATGAAATATCAATGAAAGAAGATGAGATGTTGTATCAGGAATTTGTCCAAAAGTTCAACTTCAACAAAATGAAGGTGAAGGCTCTAAAACAAAGAACTCTATACCTGATCATTGTTTGCCACATAATAGGTGTTAGATTTGATGTGTTTTACTTCACTTGATCTGAAGTGATTGTGCTTCCATGTGCAGATGGAAAAGAAAGTTAAGTGCCACAAGTACAGCCGGATGCGCCCAACGCAAGGATGGAACTTCACAGTCGAGAAGTTAGGACATCGTGGGAAGCGCGGGAATGGCGGTGGGTGGAAGTTCGTTAGTGTTGCAGACGGATCTAGTCGCCCTCTTAATGATTTTGAGAAGATGTTTGTGAAGAGGGAAACCCCTCGACGACGCAGAAAGATCCTCCCATGATTCAACTCACTGCTGCGACCTGGGGCTGAAATATTTGAAAGGCTTACATTTCTCTGTAGTGTCTGCACAATGCTGTAGGCTTAAGTTCCTGGATCTTTAAGGATTCAGACTAAATTGTTTGAACATAGTAATTTTTGTAATGTTTTGCTGGAATTTAAATATCTTTTCTCTTTACTTGCATTGGCTCTTTTGGTTGAATGTTGATTAGAGATAGTGAGATTACATGTACGGATGTACCTTTTCATCATTGGCTAATGAAAATAATTGACACTCTTTATATTTCTTAAATTTAAGAGATGAAAAGCAACTAATTTTTCATCAAAAGGTTTGATCATAGTATCGTTGGGGTGTGCATAAGATGGTGTAAATCTTTAATCAAAAGTTGAGTTTGATTCTTAACCGAACTTATAAGATGAGTAGATGACAGAGAAAATTAATGATAAGATGAAACTGTATGATCTTGTGGTCTAGTGGTACGAAGTGATTCATAGGTTGACCTTGTGGTCTAGTGGTACGAAGTGACTAACAAAGTTAGTAATACTAAAACAAACTTATTAGTGTCATTTTTAAAAATCTGCGATATTATTTTAATGAATATGAATTTGATTTTATAAATTTCTTTCTATGATTTTTTTAGGTGTAACTCAGAGTTTCTATCCTTCGATAAGGACGATATTGACTAACATATACTACACTGTAACAGAATCAGTAATACTAAAAAAAACTTACTAGTGTCATTTTTATAAATCTGCGATATTATTTTAATGAATATGAATTTGATTTTATAAATTTCTGTCTATGATTTTTGTTCGGTGTAACTCAGAGTTTCTATCCTTTGATAAAAATAAGACAACTAGTGGAGATTTAAGGCTCCTCTAACGGCGAGTGATCGTAAGATTTTTGCTTTCAAGTGGTGCAATAATCTATTTTTCAAACTATGAGGTAAGCACTGATATATTCCAAAACATCAAGGACATAATAGCTATTACACTAAAATGCCTCCTCACAAAACCACCAATTTAGGCACCAAAACCCCAATTCCTGAGAAAGCATAAACAGCAAAACAAAGTACGTAATGGACGACGGAGAAGGAGGTCTAAGCTTCGACTTCGAGGGAGGTCTGGATACGGGCCCCACTCACCCTACTGCCTCCGTGCCGGTGCTCCAGTCATCGGACCAGAATGCTGCGATTGCTGGTCCGAACTCTATTAATCCCTCAAACGTCGCTTCAGCCCCTGCCGGCGCCGCCCCCGACGGTGGTGGAATGGGCGGAAACCGCCGGAGCTTCCGCCAGACTGTGTGCCGGCACTGGCTGCGGTCTCTCTGCATGAAAGGCGATGCCTGCGGCTTCCTACACCAGTACGACAAGTCCAGGATGCCCGTATGCCGCTTCTTCCGGATTTATGGCGAGTGCCGCGAACAGGACTGTGTTTATAAGCATACCAATGAAGACATCAAGGAGTGCAACATGTGAGATTCTCTTCTTATCTATCTCTCTAGTAACTCGCCGAGGATTTTTTTTTTTTTTTTTTAAAGATTATTACGGAGTACACATATCGTACATAATATGTTGTAGTACTATTATACTGTTATCCATTATGATATGATAGAACCATAGAAGGAATGAAGTAATTCGAGATTTCGAGCTGATAATTGATTTTTCTTTTTGGTTTATTATTGTTTTTTAAATTTTTACTGAAGTTAATATACATTTTTATCTGCACCTGGTAAACAACTCGTTTTCAGTTACCGAATTGGATTCATACATGGTTGAGTACTTTTTATGATCATGATTTCTTTTTCTTCAAAGTGAATGCTAATTTGAGGGAATAGAGTCACTAGTATAGTTGCACACTTCTTTTTCCAGAAAACCATTTTCTTGTTTCTGAAAGTTTGTTTTCACTAGCATAGTAATTATCATTCTCCCATAAATTTGGACTATGCCTCTGTAGTATTGCAGAGAGTTTTTCTGATGGATGGTTATGCATTCAGGTACAAATTGGGATTTTGTCCAAATGGTCCTGACTGCCGGTATAGGCATGCTAAACTTCCTGGACCTCCACCTCCTGTAGAAGAGGTTCTTCAAAAAATTCAACAATTAGTATCCTACAACTATGGTTACTCAAACAAGTTTAACCAGAACCGGAATGCAAATTTTGCACCCCAGGCAGAAAAATCTCAGAATGCACAGGGACCTACTGGTGCAAGTCAAGCCATTAAAACTTCAACTACAGAATCAGCTTTTCCTCAACAGCAGCCAAATCAACAAGTTCAACAGGTCCAGCAACAGGGCAGCCAGGGTCAAACACTTTCCACTGGACAGCAAAATCAAACCAATAGGAGTGCAATACCCCTACCTCAAGGAACATCTAGGTGTGTTTAGAGTTTCAAGATCTTTAATTAGGTTATATAATAAATTAATGTACTTAACTTGTGAACATGATTCAGTTCTCTGTCGGTTGTAACTAGGTCTAATTAGTTCTTCAAGCTTTCATAGAAACATAACATTTGTTCTACATCTGTTCCTAATATACCTGTTTTAATGGACATGTAATAACATAATATTCATTGAAGTGGTAAATTGACTGAATTCTCCATAAATATGACATAGATTTTGTTTTTTTAGTTACTTTAGGAAAAAAAGAAGAAGAAGGAAAAACCTTTTTGCTGTGATTTATTTATTTATGTTGTTACAACCAGAACAAAATCATTGAATTTCTATTTGTTATATCCACAAGGGATTTTGTGCTCTTTGATTGGGATGGCACAGGATTTTTGGAGTTATTGTCTTATTGCTATGGTTTCTTGTCTGCAGTGATTTTGGACATCATGGTGTTTGTGTGTCTATATATATATAACTTTTATTTACTCTCTTTCTTTTAATGATTGGCAATTCTTCTCCACAGCTTTTCTCTCTCTCTCTCTCTATTTTTTTTTTTAAAGATAAATTTTTGAAGATTGGACTTGGTTTAGTGATCAAGTCATTCAAGTGCTCATCTCTTGTTATCATTGATTCAATCCTCGTAAAACTCCTCTAGAAAATAGAGGTAAGGTTGCATTCATCTTCCTTCCAAGACCCCTACTTGATGTTGGTTCTGGGTATCATCATATTTATTTAAAAATATGTTTTCGTCCTTATCTAAAACTAACAACGAAAGAGGGAGAGTTTTTGTCCCTACAGAAATTGAATTCATTCTTCTTCTATTTCATTTTACTTGGTTTCCTGACCACTGTGAAACTGGTCTAAGAAAACCTATTATTAGCTGCTTTGGTATGGAATAAGACTAAATCACTGAACCGTAAGGCATATATTTTCAAACACCCATTTTCTCTGTTTTCATGCATTGACTCATGTTCGTGCTCTACTTTTTAGCCCCTTTTTGCTTTTGTTTTCAACCATTCCGAACAAGAAGAAATATACTTCTATAACATTTTACATAATATATTGCTTACTTATCCAGTTGTTGCTTATTGCTTATTTGATGTCATTACATTAAATTAGGTACTTTATAGTCAAAAGTTGCAATCGTGAGAATCTGGAATTGTCAGTACAACAAGGAGTATGGGCAACTCAAAGAAGCAATGAGGCTAAACTAAATGAAGCATTTGATTCTATGGAAAATGTCATTTTGATCTTTTCAGTGAATCGAACTAGACACTTTCAGGTAGTCAGGATATCCACTATCCTGTTTGTGCATTCCAAGTCATGATGCCAACAATTAATTTTATAGTTAAAAAGATGAATATCAATGGTTTATTAGGTCTTTGATAGGAATTGAAAGAATCTAAGTTATGAGGCTAAACCCAATTGTTGTTTATCTAAAGAATTAGAATTAGACGAGCCATTTGACAATTTGTATGTTTTTTGTTTGATTAGGGTTGTGCAAAGATGACATCCAGAATTGGTGGTGCTACTAAAGGAGGAAATTGGAAGCATGAGCATGGAACTGCACATTATGGACGAAACTTTTCTGTCAAATGGTTAAAGGTACTTCCTTTTGTTTTCCCATGGTCAAATGGTTAATGGATACTGGCTTTTTGCTGACTTATATAGTTATATGCATGCACTTTTTCATTTTCTTGTTTCTCAAGTATCTCAACTCTCTTGATCTTGTATACTAGCTAATTCTTTGAACCTTTTATCCTTTGTGCTGTTCGTTGGGAATCATTGCGTTCTTACATGTTTATAAAAGAAAATATATACCCAGACACATGCTCTTATTCTGCGTACTGGTATATTGGTAATGATTTATTCAACCTAATATACAATATTCTTATTTTTGTGTCTATATTATGTGGGCCTATTTGGTAACATCTTTACTTTATGCTTGTTTACTCTGAAAACAAAAATTTTGCTTTATTTTATTTATTCTTGTTTTCTTTATGGAATGGGATGGAAGGTGGGGTGGGGTGTGGTCAATGAGATATGGGGTTCTGCGGATCATTTGGTATGTAGGTAGTCAGAGATGAGCTGAGAGATGGCTTGGATGAGGTAGGGTATTATGGTCAAACAGTGGGATAATATGGGTCAAGAAAAGTTGGGGAAGTGGGGGTAGGGCAACTGGGCAACGGAGGTTGGAGGGAATGGAATGGGGTGGTGAGTGTGGGTGTATGATGTGAGGAGATGTTGAAAAAACTTTTCTGTTTGAACAATTATCTAGACTTGGTCGATTCTATTACATCCATAAAAGTTACCATTCTTTGCAGTTTGGACTCCTATCTGATTCTATACTTACCATCAATTATCCAACCAGGAGAGCTTAATGTCCTGCATGCAGCATCTGTAGAATATCTATTTTTTTTTTCACTGTGAGGATGTTCAGTGTGGTAATTTGTTACTTTGTTTGGATGTATTCAGTTATGCACTCTTGCCTAAAACTAGGGTTTTCTATTGGCTTGGAGTTGATGCAAGGTAAAGAAAAAAAAAATCTACAAATGAAGTTTGTGATGCAACTTGCTACTTCTCTACAAATGAGGAACTGTGGCTTTTTTATTTTAATGTTTGAGTCCTTCCCTTGTAGAGTCATTGTTTTCTTTGAAATATGCTTTGCTGGACTAAAGAGTATGTAGAGGGAAGGTATATTCATTTTAATTGTTATTTTGTGTTCTGATTTTCCATTCTCTAAGCATTATGCAATCTTGCACCTTTTCCCTAAAACTGTTTCATCTCTTTACTTGTGAATCTTTTGTGCATTCAAACAAGCTTCTGCTTACCTGGAAGTCTACTGCTTTCCTTTCTGGATTGAGGCTTGATATGTAATTTAACTAACTAGACACAAAACTAGAAGAACAAATTCATGGGACTGACGCCCTGAAAGTTGAATGTACTGTTGTTTTAGTGGGATTTTTTGAAATTTGAAGATGATAACAAGGCTGGCCTCAACCGAAAGGAGTAAAGGGGACTGCATATACTCAACATTTCACTGTCTGAGATTAGCCGATTTCTCATTGTGTATTCTTACTCCTTAGGTTTCACCAGCAGAAGTTGCGCGAGTGTTTTTTGAAACTAAGGTCATCTAAGTTTAAGTTCTACTGACTTCTTTTGCTTTTCTTCAGCTTTAGTTGCATACTTGCATTTATATTTTAGATGGTGCATCTTTCCTGCAGTTGAACTCATTATTGCACAAGAAAATCTCCATTTAAGTACACATGATTGAACAATGTGTTTTTGTGGGTTCATTTTATTAATCTTGTTTACTTTTTTTGAATTAAGGATCTTAGTTACATGTTCTATACTTGCACCTTACTAATATCTCAGTGGTTCCTGGTATGTTCTTGTTCTAATTTGTCCCTATTTTTCAGACTTTATAACTCATACGTGTGCTACATCGATTTCTTTAATGCAGCTATGTGAATTGTCCTTCCAGAAGACTCGTCATTTGAGAAACCCATACAATGAGAACTTACCAGTGAAGGTACAAAGTGGAACTTTGAATAACCAACAATTCCCTTGACATGTTTTAGTATGTTCATTTTCTTGTGGCATTGAATGCCAAGGTGTTTGGCAAAAGATGTAATAGAAAGGGTAAAAAAATAAGTATAAATCGTAGTTTCCAGATGGAACCAAACTGATGGTTGTAACATAATGTAGAGGAAAGGTAAAAATTATATAGTTGCTTCAATTGAATTTGGGAATTTCCTTTAAGAATATATTAGGCAATAATTTTCCCTTGACCAAACTGGCTTCAACTGATTTCTTTCTTTTGGTTTCAAGCAAGTGCAACTGCTGCAGAGATTTGCAGAATGACAGCTATTAGGCATTCGTCTAAAATCCTACTCTGCAATTTTCTCTCAAGAATATCAAAGTATATTATGGTTCTTTATTTAGTAAGAAGATGTGTGAACTTGTGGAGCTTAATTGTTATTCTTTAGCAATGATATACTGTTTCAACATGATAGAAAATGTTTTTTTTTTTTTTTAAAAAAAAAAATTTATACAGAGTAACTTTCATGGAAACCTTGATGTACAAGAACACATTTATTAGTCCAAGACTTAAAGACACAAAAAGAAGGATATTTTCCTTTTCTGGTTCCAACTCTCTAACACTCTTCAACAAAGTTAGCAACTATTAGTCCTTTTATCATGGATTCTCTCCAGGACTAAGAAAGAATAAAGCTTGTCACTGTTGGTCCCTCAACTACACAAACATAACCACCTTAGTCTATCCAAAGCTAGATGGTAGAGGGATTCAAAGTTGTTAACTTTGTGTAATTGAGGTATGATGGGGGTCACTCTTACTTAAGGGGTTAACTGTCAAAGTGGTTAAAGAATAGGACTATAACATAAGTATCCTTGTGAAAGAAGTATAAAGCACAACGTATGAAGGTGAGAGATTACTTGTAGAAAAACCTCATATACAGGTTTACCATAGTCCATCATTGCTAAGCTTTCTCTGAAAAAATGATTATTATGACCTTTTCTTTCATGAAATAAATAAATGATCAGTGATGCACTGATTGGCTAATTCCAATGTTAAGTCAGCTGAAAATATTTTGATATTAATTCTCGGTATATCTGATTTGCCTCAATAATTTGACTTTCTCTGATTTTTATAACCAACTTCATTTGTTCACAGCAGTTATCTTCATGTTATTGCAGATTAGCAGAGATTGTCAAGAACTAGAGGCCTCTGTTGGGGAGCAGTTGGCTTCCCTGTTGTATCTTGAGCCAGACAGTGAACTTATGGTACAGAATGCTTTTCGTTCTTTTTTAATTCCTTTCTGTAAAGTGTCTTTCCTGTTAGAGGTAGAAAACATGTCTATTTTACATTTGTCACTGTGTCTGAAAACTGGAGCCACTGGTATAGTATTCTTTGCCACCTGTTTTGCAATCTTGCACTTAAAAACAAGAAAGACGAGACTGTATGGCATGGTGTTGCGTGCCTGGAGGTCTGGGAACGCGTCACTGGACGATGAACAGGGCTGGAGGGACGTGCCGGAGGAATGGGGGAAGATGGTTATCTACCTATGGTTGCAAATAGATAAAAGAAAATGAAGCAGTAAAACAATGAGTTGAAGAGTTCTGGAGTTCTTCCTCTCCCAAAAGTCATTAATCCAAATAATTCTCAGATGATTATTCTCAACCTAGCCAAAGCTCTTAACTACCTATGGAAGCCAACGGTAAAAAGCATGAAAATAGGAAGTAAAAACAAATTAACAGCCTAAGTGGAAATAGGAAAAAGAAATAACTAATTTAATGAATAATTAGCTTATTGAATGAGTCCATGCGTTTGCATCTTGTTCCTGACTTCCTGCATCTGTGATACGATCCCACATCGGCTCCACAAGAGATTGTGGAGTGGTACTTAAGTTGGGGCCAAACCTCCACTCATGAGCTAGCTTTTGTGGTGGAGTTAGGGTCTTGGCTTGAGTACCGTATCATTTGGTGCTCTTGTTGAGAGGCTGGAGTGTGGTGGGAAAGGGCTACCTGAAGAGGGATACCCGATGCTTGATAAGGTTCAAAGGGAACCGAGAAGAGTCTGGAGTGAAAGCTATCCAGAGTGAAGCCGTCCACTCATCCGGTGTCGGCCTAGAAAAGGGATAAGGTCCGGAGTGAAGCCATCCAAAGGGGAAAAGGGCTACCTGGTGCCGAGAAGAGTCCGGAGTGTGAGCCATCTAGAATAAGCCGCCGCGGACGTCGGCTACTCAAGGGGTGGCAATGATACGATCCCACATCGGCTCCACAAGAGATTGTGGAGTGGTACTTGAGTTGGGGCCAAACCTCCACTCATGAGCTAGCTTTTGTGGTGGAGTTAGGGTCTTGGCTTGAGTACCGTATCACATGGATGAATTGGATATCTATCTATATATTTTGTTTAAATCAGCATATAGCATCATGATTGTGTTGAAGACACCTGGTGCCTGCATGCATGTTTCGATTGTTTTCTGTCATATACTCATATAGCCATTGTTTATTATATACAGAGTAATACAGAAAGAGAACTATCTTTTGTGGTTTTATGCTTAGTGTTTGAGCCTTTTGCTTTCTTTGATTTTTAAACAGTTTCCAATGTGTGGACCCTGTCGGTTCTTGTTAACTTTTAATTTTCTCATGTTTGTGTGTTAATGACAAGTTTGTTGCATTACCAATTGTTAATTTGATGCATTATATTCACTGTCAAGATAAGTGGGCTTTGACTATTGAAAGTACACAGATAATGAAACCCTTTGCATGTATCTACACAAGGAATTTATTTGTTGATTAGTTGAAGCTTTACAGTTGCACCTACTATTATGTCGTAGCAGATATTATTATGAAATGCTCAGATTTTTGTAACATATTTGACTTCCCTATTTAGGACTGCATAGTTCATTTTGTTGAAATATTTTGCATGGCTGAACTACATTCTGTTATTCATAGGGCATCTAGTTCTTGACAGCGTACACTATTGGGAAAGCATGCAGTTTTTGTACAGTATGATTTCTAAATAAAAGTTATAACATTGAAAATAATTTGGTGAATTGGATTATTATTCTTTCAGGCAATCTCACTCGCAGCAGAATCAAAACGAGAGGAAGAGAAGGCAAAGGGTGTGAATCCTGAGAGAGGGAATGAGAATCCAGATATTGTACCATTTGAAGACAATGAAGAAGAGGAGGAAGAAGAAAGTGAGGAAGAGGATGAGAGCTTTGGTCAAGCTTTTGGACCAGTGGCCCTAGGCAGAGGAAGGGGCCGGGGAACAGCTTGGCCTCCTATGATGCCTTTAGGACGTGGTGCCTGGCCACTCCCTGGAAATCCTGGGATGCGGGGGTTTCCCCCAGGGATGATGGGTGAAGGGTTTCCCTATGCTGGAGTAACACCTGATGGTTTTCCTATGGATGTATTTGGCATGGGCCCACGTCCTTTTGCTCCATATGGTGGTCCAAGGTTCTCCGGTGATATGATGTTTCATAATCGTCCGCCAAGTGGTGGATTTGGAATGATGATGGGTCCAGGAAGGGGGCCATACATGGGTGGAATGGGTCCCGGATCTGCAGGCCCACCGAGACCTGGTCAACCAGTTGGGATGGCTCCATCATTCGCCCCACCTCCATCACAAGCCCTGCAAAATTCTTATCGGGGTAAAAGAGATCCGAAAGCACCAGGTAGTGATAGAAATGATAGATTCAGTTCAGGGTCAGATCAAGGTAAGGATAAAGAGATGGCAAGTTCAGCCGGGGGACCCGATGACAAAGCTCCTTATCTGCAAAATAGTCTTAGAAATGACGAAAGTGAAAGCGAGGATGAGGCACCAAGAAGGTCAAGGCACGGTGAAGGAAAGAAGAGGCGTGGTAGCTTGGAGGCGGATGCAACAACTCCCCCCGAGAAATAAATGGAGTGCAATAATCGAGTTTGGAAGTTATCTTTCCTCTACAGTCATTCTAACAGGACTCAACAGTATATATGCTACAGAAGGCAAAACATGGAAGCCAAAGAGATCCATTTGGAGGGAAAAACAGAAACGCCCAACATTCTCTATAAAGATGAAAACGAGCCGGCAAAGAACGTTGCAGCTCAGTCAAGTCTGAGAAAACTGCTCCATTTTGGATTTTGCTTGCACTGAATTGTGTATATTATGCCCAAAAAAGGGTAGATGGGATAGAATTCAGATATCTAACTCATTTAAGTAAAACTAGCAAATTATTTTGAGTGATTTTTGAGTTATAGACGTGACCCACAATTTATGGGATTGGATTATTTTGGCTTAGGACTTATTGATCCCCATTTTAAGTTTTTAACTCTACCATGATTCTTTACTATTATTATTATTAAACAAATTTAATTAAGTTGTCACAGGAAAGAATTATTGCAATCCAAGGTTGTGCGTAATGTCTTCATAAATGGCACAACTTTAGAGGTTTTTTTTTTTTTTCTCAAAAAAATATATTTTTAAATCTTATTTTTCAAATAAAAATACTTTTAAACTTATTTCTCAAATGGTAAATGTTTTTATATATAATCTTATCAACTATTTACAATTTTACACGTTATCATTGTCACATCATTATTGCCACTAAAATTCTGGGTATACATGTATTTACCCAACAAAAAAAGTAATATAAAAAATCTGGCCATACGTGTGTATACTTATATATATAATTACTACAATAAAGGGAGTTCTGTGATTGCAAAGTTTCGGCATTAAATTTAGGAATAATTAATTCTGAGATACTACACAACAGTTAAATACGGAGCAGTAGACATTGAGGTGATTGATGATGATGCGATCTGTCTGTATTTCTTCCATATTCACCAGTCTGTACCCAATTCTTTTGAAATGAAAAGTTTGTCAATGTAGGTGACGATGGGAGCTGCCGAGGCAACATAACATTCCATGTGAATCTTTGCAGAGGCTTCTGAAATGGCACAAGAAGAAATAGATTAACAATCAGATGAAAACAGGTGCCCAAGATTAGGTATGAACATTTACAAGACAAGAGAGACCTCAACAGAACAATGAGCAAATTAACTGTGTAATTGAGAAAATCGCATAATCAATCCAAGCGCAAAAACAATAAACACAAAGCTCAACCCAAAAAAAAAAAAAAAAAAAAAAAAAAAAAACAGTTGTGACTTTTTGTATGTACACATATGTTATGTCTTCCTTACTCTTCCCCACATAAGACTTGGCCATATTACACATCAATTGTGATTAGTGAATGCCCTTCATTTGAGATGGTTGATGGAGTTAAATACTTGGAGGCTTACAAAACCAGTTCACATGTTACATCCAGAAAGAGTGCCAGTGTGTTTACTAACTCACTAAGTGGAAAATTTTCCAGTTTTACAAAAAATTGGAGAAGGGAAATGGAAAAATGGAAAATATGTTCATGTTGATAATTTTCCACTTTTTCAACATGAACATATTTTCCATTTTTCCATTTCCCTTCTCCAATTTTTTGTAGTGGAAAAGATAATATAAGTAAACGGAGAAGGGTTATCTAAATCGAAAACTCCATGGCACTGTTCACCCATGTTTTTGGTTACTTCTTTACCCTTTTTCCATTCACCATTCTCCATTTGGAGAATTCTTCAAATGGAATATTCACCATTTGATGTGTCCCACTCCAGCTACTAATGAATCTTTGGGCCATAATATAAGAAATGGACCAAACATACACTCGTGAGCTAGCTTTTGTGATGTAGTTAGGGTCTGAGTTTGTATCATTTGATACTAAGGGCACAAGGGCGGAGCTAGCTTAGACAATGTAGTTAGGGCTTAGATTTGTATCACCATTTTAGGGAAAAGGAAATGGAGGATTTACATTCACTACACAGGCAAAAGTTTCTGGGTATCCAAACAAAAGCTTCATATGTTGAAAGAAGTTGAATGGGATAGTAAAGCATTATAAGATCTACCAAGATAAAGAGGAACTTTATTGTCACATGATGCAAAAAGGAACACTAGTTTTGATGATTGAACAAAGTCACTGAAGTTGAGAAACAAGACTAAAACTGAATTTATCTCACCGTCTTCATTGAGCTTGTTTAACAGCTGTGCCTTAGTGGGAAGAGCATACATTCCTGCAGCTACAGCTTTCCTTATTACCCATCCATGGTAAGGAGCAAACACCTGCTCATAAGCATTTGAAGCTGGATCCTTCAGAGAGTTTCCTCTGTCAAAATAGAAAAAGTCTGTTACTAGTTTCACCATAAGCAGTGTAAGGAGAGAAACAACCAGAAAATTATTGTTTTCATGACAGAATTCAGTTAATCATAGAGGATGAACATACCCAGTGGCCAGAATTTGCTCAAACAAAACTTTAACCATATCTATCCCACGCTTCACTCTTAACAGATTCCTTGTATGACTGCCAGCTCTTCTCACACAATTTCCGTCAATATCTAAATCCATCATTGCTCTTAATGTTGAAATCGACTTTGATGCCTCTGCAAGATCATCAACCTGCCACCATCATCATGGAACTCTAATTAGTATATCCAATCTCTAAAGCCATACTTGCACACTAATTTGTCTACCATCTAAACAGTCACAGAACCAAATAGAAACAACAGTCATTGATTGCAGACTTCTACAGGCAAAAGTGCTACACTGCTACCTAATAAAAGAACTAACAACTCAGTTGGGTAATCAATGTACACCTCAAATTTCACTTACTAGTTTGTATAAATTACAAATACAAATCAATAAGTAAAATTTTACCAAAGAGAAACAAAACTATGAATGTCTATGAAGCAGACCATACACAGATACCTTAATGCCACTTCCTAGTAGTGATCAACCTCCATTTACAGAAACTCTGTATAAAAACGAATAAATAAAATTGCCACAGAAAAAAGGTTAATTTTACTTTCAGTTCCGAAATTAGAGCTTGTTTTGCAATTGTTCCTCTTCCCCCTTTGATCAATCAATTTCGCAGTGAAATTCAACAAGGAACTTTAATCAATCTGGCTATCGAGAGATGGAGAATCGAACCGTACAAGTTGAGTGCATATACAATCACATATACCTTGGCGACATAGTCGAGCTCGGCGAACTTGAAGGCGATGCCGAGGCAGCGGAAGAGAGGGGAGACAAGTGAACTGGCGCGAGAGAATGCGCCGACTTCTAGCTGAGCTTCTTCAGGTGATTGCGAAGTGATGATGGAGTTGGATAGGTTCTTGAAAGCCTCAGCCATCTTCCTCAATGGCTTTTCTTCGTCCGCCATTGAAGAATCACTAAGCTCTTTCTCGTCTCGTCTCTTCTCTTCTCAACTCTGAAGACTAGCGTGTCATCGAACTCCACGGATCTATTTTCTCTATAGTTTGAGTACAGAATATTACGGAGAGTTTTATTATTATTTTTGATCTACAACTATGCTTATACCCTTGTAATTCATAATTCATTCATTTAGGCCCCATGATATTTGAAAATTACACTTTCATACCTTGAGAATTACATACTCGTATTTGATTTAAATATGGGAATTGGAATTGACAATGAGGTAAACCATAGTTTCCCCTATTTATGGGCATGCTATTCTTTTTTTTTGAATGTCACTGGCTCTATTACAATGTAGTATCTGTTCATATACTTTCTCAACCTATTGAAACACAAAGAACCAATAACGCCTCCACTAAGGCTCAAACTCACAACCTTCCAAATGAAAGTCCAACCCGAATACCATTAGACCACATAGTCTTGGTGGGTATGCTATTCAATTAATGTGTTTATATATATAATAACTCAAAATTTATAGATATTTATATAAGAAGATAACTAAGTGACTCTTTAGTTAATGTATTATTTATATTTGATATTTGATATTATGATGGGTTATATAACATCTCATCCATAGATTAAATAAATTTAACTCACTACAAGAGGATAAGAAAGGACAAATTATTTTGTGGATCCAAGTTCACCTTGCAAGGTGTACATTAGTATTGTCAAAGCGGATCGTCTCACCCCATTAAGTTCGCCACATTGCAGCACTACAGGCCTAATTTTTTGCGAGCTTTTGCAGGCCGACTCGTGGGCTAAGGTTCATATAACCCTAACCCGTCCCAAGCTGGCTGGTGGATTATAGTTTTTTTTTTTTTTTTTTTTAATTCTTGTGAAAAATAATTTTATAAATGAAAAGAATAAACATATTAACATTGGGGTCAACATTTATTATCACTGTTATGCACACCAAACAAAGATATAGTGTATTACAAGAAGAGGAAAATTCAAATTGAATTCTTCTCTTCCTGTAATACGCTACAAAAAAAATTGATATATATTATTCAATTAATATATATAATTATATATTTTTTTTAAAGGACTTGGCCCGTGGGTTGGCCCATAGCGTGCGCGTGTTGCGGGTCTTAGCAGGCCAGGCCTGTTCTTTCACGGGCCTACTTTTTTCATAACCCTAACCCGTCCCATTGCAGAATGGGTGCGGATCAACTCGCGGGTTTCAGCCCAATTTGACAGTATTAGTGTACATGGGTTCAAAATACATAATTTACATAATAAATGTTCAAAATTTTGTAAAAGATAAATCGTAAACATTTAGTATATAAATTATGAACATTAAGTATGTAAATTATATATTTTAAATCCGAATTTACTTTGCAAAGTGGACCCCAATCCATGGTATAACAACTCACAAGGAAGTAACAAGTTCAAGTTATCATGCCCACAATAATTTAGCTGCATAGATATATGACAAAAGGCATGAATGTGCTCAACGACTTTTCAAGAGCTTAGCACACCAATTGGCATGGGAAAATAAAATGCATTTTAGACCATAATGTCATGTATATATATTTTGAAACAAATTCTACACCTAGATTTTACTTTCTCACTCAAATTTGTAATGTAGATTTTTTTTCTTGGGACTCCCTCACTCACAGAACTTATTATTAATTGTAACATCATAAAATAAAAGTGATCCAGAAAACATAAATTTAAAATCTATGTAATAAATTTTAAATGTAATGATCTAAAAATCAAACCCAACCTATATATTGATTGTAGCATAAATACCTTAATTAAGAAAGTGGAGCAGACTTTCACTCCCTAACTACAGAGGGTGCAAAACATATCTTGTGACACTAAGTCTGCTCTTGTGAATTTCAACTTAGCACAATCTTGAGACCGGAATCCTTGAAATTAAGCTTCAAGGTCAGTTTAATTAGTTGTCTCCTTTACTTAAATCCAAAAGGGAAATGTGGAGGGGTTGGAACTTGGAAGACAACACTACATATACACAAATCATAGATACTTTATACTAATTCCCAGAAGCATTATTGGAACCATTGGTAGCGTCTACATCATCAAAACCCGGCTTTGCCACCGCCGCGGGGGCGGCAGCGGCTGCAGATACACTTCCCTCTTCAATCTTCCGCCACTCAGCGCTCTTTTCCAGCTCCTTGGCGGTGTCATACGACGCGTGGAGGCCGAAGAAGAAATAGTATATCAGAAGAACACCGCTCCACAGTCCAAATCTCTTGAAAGAGTTTTTGTCTATTGATCCAAGGAGGAAGATGTTTACTGCGATTGACAAAGACGGGAGCCACGGCACCAGCGGAACGCCCCAAAGCCTCGGCTCGCGCGCGCGAGGAACGAAGTAGCAGAGCCCCACCGTGGAAAAGAACCACACCGGCGCCGTAACGCAGTACGCAACCCACCCATTAGTGCTAGCGCCCCAGTAAGTAGCGGTGGCGATTGAGGATGACAGGATGAGAAGAAGGAATCCGATGAGTTTATTGCGGTTCCCGACGGTGGTAACCCCGGAAACATAGTATCTCCGCACGAGGAGCGCGAGCGCGACGAGCATGAAAATGAAGAGCGTGGAGATGGAGAGGAGGTCGGCCAGAATGCTGAGCTTGGTGAAGAAGGCGATGACGGCGGTCGCCGACATCATAACCGCCGTAGCATTTATAGGCGTCCCCGTCCTGGGATCAACGTAGGAAAACCACGGCGGCATCATATGAGTCCGCGAAATATGGGTCAGATACCGCGCCTGTCCCACGGCGCCCACCAACAACACCGACGTCATCCCCTTCAGCGCCCCAAACGCCACCAAATACTGCGCCCACGACCACCCCACCGCCTTAAACGCCACCGAGAACGGCGCATTCACGTCAATACTGGTATACGGCTGCATCAAACACAGAGTCACCGCCATCACGCAGTAAATCGTGGTCGTGATCGCCATCGAACCCACCAACCCAATGGGGATATCTCTAGCAGGGTTCTTGGTCTCCTCCGCCATGGTGGAAACCGCATCAAACCCCACATACGCAAAGAACAGCACCGCCGCCGCCTTGAAGACGCCGCGGGCGCCGTTAGGCGCGAAGGGGGTGTAGTTTTTGGGGTCGGATTTTATGAGGCCGCAGACGATGATGAACACAATCACAACCATGTGAACGATGGAGGCGATGTAGTTGAGACGTGAAGAGCCCTTTGTGCTGAGGATTGCGATGATGCAAATGGCGAAACAGACTCCCACGGCGATTGGGTCTAAGAGATTATAGCCTTCGTGCAGGGCATTAGCCTTGATGAGAAAACTCTCGGGGTGTTTGTTGAAAAGAGTGGCCAAGTAGTAAGTCCATGAACGAGCAACTGCGGCTCCGCCGATCACGTACTCAAGAAGTATGTTTCCGGCAGCGATGAAGGCCACAAAGTCGCCAAGTTCAACCCTTAGATAGGCAAATGAACCACCTGACAAATAATGAAATTACAATCAATCTATATTTTTAGCCAAAACTCAAAATCATCATTGAAATGTACATAATTTATTAACTAAATACACATAATTTGATAATTGCAAACATATAATCTAAATATTAAATAATTTAAGAAGATATAAAGCCAAGTTTAATTACTACACAACATATTGAAAAAAACATTAATTAATTTTGAAACATATCTTAACTCAATCCAAACTAAATGATAACGTTACTTTGCAAGAAAAAAAAAAATGCACCAATTAATAATTAATAATTTATCAATAGAGGATTTCACTTTCTATTTTATGGAGGGGCGGACTGCTTTCCAAAGAAACAGGAGCATTGACTATTCAATACCCACCGAACACTATGTCAGGTTCACAAGCCAGCTAGCTTTTATGGAGGGAGAAGACTTCAATACCCACCGAAGACTATGTCACTTTCCAGGAGAAGACTTTAATACCCACCCTATTGAAACACTAAATACGAAAATCATGTCCCACCTTTATTTGTATACTCATTTCAAAATGAAGTGAATTAACTTTTAAATAATACTATATTCACTCTATTTTTCATTCTCCGTTTTCTCACCCTTATTTGTATACCCATCTCAAAATGAAGTGAATTAATTTTTAAATAATACTATATTCACTCTATTTTTCATTCTCCGTTAAGGTGTCTTGTCTTGATTGATCAAGAAAAACGATATGAATCATAATTTTTATTCTTTCATGTTATTACCCAATAAAACATGTGCATGTGACAGGAGAATATTCCCTGAGAATGTATATATGATTTTACTTAATTTTTACTTGGAAAATTTTATTGTATATTTTATTTTTAAATTAATAATAATAATAATAGCAACAATGACAATACAATAAATATAATATCAAAAACTATTATTATAATAATAATAATAATAATAATAATAATAATAATAATAATAATAATAATAGCAACAACAACAACAACATCAAGCTAAGTAAAAAAACAAAAGAGAAAAATACAAAAAGGAAAGAGAATCAAGGAACTTAGTCAACGAAAAATTAAATGAATAAGAAATTTAATTTGTTTAAAAATGTTACCTGCAACTGGTATCTCGACGGCGAACTCAGTGTAGCAGAAGACAGAAAGCATGGCGGAGAGGCCGGAGACGGTGTAGGAGAGGACGACAGCAGGGCCGGCGTGTTGGTTGGCCTCCTGGCCGGTGAGGACGAAAATTCCGGCGCCGATGACGGCGCCCATGCCAAACCAAATAAGATCCCACCAGTTAAGGTTCCTCTTCATCTCGTGTTGGCTGCGCGACTTGGCGGCGAGCTCCACCTGGTCCAAGGAGCGGCTGAACACCCGATCCCTCAGCCGCGCCGGAGTCTGCCTCAGCGCATTGACGTAGTTGCCCCAGCTCCTGAACGATTCCTCAGGGAGAAAATCGTCCTTACCGCAGGAACACCCTCTTCTCCTCATCCCTGATTCTGAACCGCCATTTTTAGTTTCAACCTCCATTTTAATTTCTATCGATCTACATATAAACAAAAATTTAATAAAAATAATAACATTAAGCACCATGCAAAGGAATAAATCCAGAATCTAAATACAAAA